CGTTTATCAGGTTGAGGAAGTTCCCCTCTATTTCAGTTTGCTCAGAGTTTTTATCATGAATAAGTATTAGATTTACATGATTTAGAGTAGATATTTTATTCAGTGCCTTTATTGTCTGGTACCCCCAAACACATTATATGTTGAGGACATTGTTAACAATGTCCTTGACTAATATCAATAAGCTATATAAATTAAGATATTATAGATTTATATTTTTTATTATAGTAAGAAATAGTCTCTAATTCAAATGTAAGCAAAGTACAGCCTATGGGTCAAATCTAACCTCTGCTTCCTCTTTCATACAGCTTTTGATCTAAGAATGATGTTTTATGTTTTTGAATGTTAGAACAAATCAGAAGGATAATATAACATAATATTTTATAATATAAAATTCAAAGTTTTTTGCTGGTGAAGTCTTACTGGAACACAGCTGTTTTTACTCTTTTACCTGTTAGTGGCTGCTTTTGTGCCACTGCTCAGTGTACCACAAATCACAGTGTTCGAGTGTCAAATATGTATATTGCTGTGCTCCAGTATTTATTTTTTATTACCGTAACCCATCATGCCAAAACAAAAAGGGAAAGTAGACTTCGAATTCACTTTTTAAGGGCTTAATGGAATGTAGATTATCTGTTTGTCAAATTAAATGGCAAAGCATTATTTTATGTTGTAATGAGATTAGAGTTGATATTTATAAACTGATTATTATCACATTTCCAAACCGCAGGAAAGCAATGCCCAGAAAAATTAGGAGATTTAAGGCACAATATCTCATCACAGTGGAATTTCTTCACAAAAATATGAAACAATAATGAGGAATCACTTGTTATTTCAGCAGCTAAAAGAAATGTGTCCTTAGAAAATAAACTTGTTTAAGGCTACTAGCTTAAAGAAGTGCTTTAAAAATGGGGGACATTCAGAGCAACATCACTAATCAATTAAAAAAATAAGGCATATGATATTGAGTAGTTTTCCTTGGCTCCTGATGAGTCAAAAGATGTTATCAGTAATACTCTGCTGTGTATTTGAAAAGTCAGTGCTGAGTTTGAAGTGAGTGAAAATTTAGCCTCTGTAAGAAGTCAGCCAAGCACAGCTGTGGGAGAGAGTATTTTCAAACAGGGAAAAGATATACTACTGTAGTGTAACCTGAAGTGGAATCTTCTAAGATACATTACAACTGATGGTGCGAGAAATGAGTGTGGAGCAGTTGGACAGATTTGCAAAGCTTGGGAAAATGTATAACATTGAATCTATCATGTATTATGAAAACATTAGTGTCAAACACTAATTTATTCAGACTTATGGACTTGACCATCATCAATCTTGTGAATTTTTGTCAGAAATAGAAGGTGAATGTCCTGATTGGTGTTACCACAAAGGAGTGTGATGATTTTTTATAATGTTTTTTTTTGACTTCTGGGCTGAGGTTAAAATTTTTCTAAGCAAAAAGAGCCACCCTCAATCGCTGACTTTGGAAATTAGCTTTTGCTGGAGAATTGGTAGTTTCTTAATGAATTTCAGTCTAAAATTGGAAGGCAAACGGTACTTACATGTACAACTTAGTACTGCAGTAAAGTCATTTCAAAGACAACAAATGTCCTTCAAATGTTTGAATCACAAGTAAGATCCAGCTGTTTTATATATTCCCTGTACTGTCCAAAGTTAAAACAAGAAGCAAGATCTTCACAAATACATACATATTTGGAGAGGGTGTATTTTATGACCTGCAACTTCATTTCCAGCAACATTTCCCCCAACTCAATGCAAATGTAAATTTCTGCATTTTGAAATTCATGTATGTCATCCAGGAGCTTCCTCCTAAGTTTCATTGCAGACCAGTCTGCAGTGTATTGATACACTAAAAGGCAACTATCAAGAGAATAATTTAATACAGTTGTATAAATGCCTTTTGAAAAAGTAAATAACTGCCTTCCAAGTGATATGTATGCTCTGTTAAAATAATATATACTGGCTCGGCGCCTGTGGCTCAAGCAGCTGGGCGCCAGCCACATACACCTGAGCTGGTAGGTTCGAATCCAGCCCGGGCCTGCCAAATAACAATGATGGCTGCAACCAAAAAATGGCCAGGCGTTGTGGCAGGCACCTGTAATCCCAGCTACTTGGGAGGTGGAAGCAGGAGAATTGCTTGAGCCCAGCAGTTGGAGGTTGCTGTGAGCTATGAAGCCACAGCACTCTACCCAGTGATTTTTGAGGCTCTGTCTCAAAAATCAATCAATCTATCTATCTATATATATACACACACACACACTCAGGCTGGGTATAGTTGCTCGCGCCTGTAATTCTAACACTCTGGGAGGCCAAGGTGGGTGGATTGCTTGAGCTCAGGAGTTTGAGACCACTGGAGCGAGGTCTCATCTCTAAAAACAGCTGGGTGTTGTGGCAGGCACCTATATAGTCCCAGCTACTTGGGAGGCTGAGGCAAGAAGATTACTTGTACTCAAGAGTTTGAGGTTGCTGTGCGCTATGACATCATAGCACCTACTGAAGGGGGCAAAGTAAGACTCTGTGTTCAAAAAAAAATCTGTATTTTTCTTTCATGTGAGCATGTTTATATATCAGTTTCATATTAGTATTGCGTACATTGGATACTTGCTTTTCTATTCTTATGATGCTTTACTAAGGAGAATGTTCTTCAACTCCATCTATGTTAATACAACAGATATAAAGTATCCTTTTTTCATGGCCAAATAGTAGTCTATGGTATACATTTATCACAGTTTATTGATCTATTTGTAGCCAGAATTTTTATCTGTGTCTTTAATCTCTGGGTTTGAAGAATGAAACCATAGACCATGTGAGTAAGCGAAAGGACAGAGTTTATTGAAAGACAAGGAAATAGATAAGAAAAAAAAGTGGAGCAGAACCTCTGGCAATGGAGGGGGGGTGCCCAAGTGGACAGTCCAGGTGAGCCTTCTGTCTAGGGTTTTATATACTGCTTTTACTATACTGCAGGCCGGGGGTTTGGGAAATGTATGTCCAGAACATGTTACAGTTGGCCAGGGGCCTGCAGACAGAAAATAATCCAAAAATTAGCAGAGGAATACCATCTTTGCAGAGTCCTTGGCCCAGGCAAGGCATTAGAGTGTGTGCTGTTTACTCCTGCATCCACTGTCCAGATGAGACACTGATGAGGCTGCTTTATTTCATGACCTCGCTAGGGCCCAGAGAATGGGGCTTGGAAACGGTTTCTTTGTGTCTAGAGATGGGGGTCTTAATGAGACTGAGCCCTACAAAATGGGGGTCTCTGTTCTACCCCAAACAGGGTACCTTGTATCACACTCGAGTGTTGATGGGTACTTGCATTTATTCTGTATCTTGGCATTCGTGAACTGAGCTGTGGTGAACATTCCAGTGCAAATGTTCTTATGGCAAAATGAGTTTATTTCTTCTGAGTAGATACCTAGTAATGGGATTGTGGGATCAAATGAAAGGTTTACTTTTTGCTCTTTGAGGATTTTCCATATTTTTTTCCATAGAGGTTGTATTAGTTTGCAGTCCCACCAGCACTGTAAAAGTGTTACCTTCTCTCCATATCTACACCAGCATCTGCGTCTTTTTGTCTTTGTGAGATGGGGTTAGGTGACATCTCAGGGTAGTTTTGATTTGCATTTCTCTGATGAATAGGGATGATGAGCAGTTTTTTCATATGTTTGTTGGCTGTTCTTCTGTCTTCTTGGGAGAAGTTTTTGTTCATATCTCTTGCCCATTGACAGATGGGGTTGTTTGCACTTCTCTCATTGATTAGCTTGAGTTCTCTGTAGATTCTAGTTATCAGCCTTTTGTCAGGTTCATAGCATGCAAATATCTTCTCTCCCATTCTGAAGGTTGTGTGCTTGTTTTAGTTGTTGTACCCTTAGTTATGTAGAAGCTTTTTAGCTTGATCATGTTCTATTTCTTTATTTTTTGGTATCGCTTCACTTGCCAAGGGGATTTTCTTCAGGCCAACATCATCAAGAATTTTTTCCACACGTTATCCTACAATTTTTATTGTTTTGTGTCTTCAATTTAAATCTTTTATCCAGCAAGAGTCAATTTTTGTAAGTGGAGAGAGGCACAGGTCCAATTTCAGTCTTCTGCATATAGCTAACCAGTTCTCTCAGCACCATTTATTAAAAAGGGATTCTTTTCCCAGTTAATGCTTGTGTTTGGTTTATCAAAGATCAGATGGTGAAAAGGTGGTTGATTTCATCTCTAGGCTCTTTATTCTGTTTCGTAGATCTGTGTCCATATTTTTGTGCCAGTACTGCCATTTATTTTGATAATAAGTAGCAGTAATTGGGTGAAATGTCAGCTGTCCTCAGAAGTTTATTTTTCTTGATAGAGTTGTGTTTTTAAAAATTGCACTCAAGTATTATTTTATATTTTAAATTTCATTAATTAAAAATTTGTGGAAGATTTTTTTCTCTGTCATATTTCAGTACCTGCATAATAACCTCAATTTCGTCTCTTTGTGCAAAGCCTAAAACATTTAGTATGTGGCCCTTTGCAGAAAATATTTGCCAATCCCTTAATTGATTGATGTCAATGTGTGATAGAAAAATATTTTCTTCCCTGCCCCATCTTTATGTAAGTTTGCAACACAGATACAGTTTTTGTTATTTTAAAAAATCTCTTGTATCAATATAATTTTTATAGAAGATTGATAGTTATAATAATCAGGAGTTGGATAAAAGTTCCACAAACCTAAATATGTATTCTTGATTTAATTTTCTTTGTTAATTATTTTAGTTCTGGTGTTGTTTGGGAGATGAAACCAAAACAGAAATGGAAGCCATTTAGTCAGAAGCAGATAATCTTATTGGAGCAGTCTTATCAGAAATATCAAGGTTCAAAAGGGCATGGCTGGATTAAGCTAGACCACAATTTTGAGGTATGTCAAAATTATTTTGTTTTGATTTTTATATGTGTATTTTATTGTATTGGTGGTGTTAGTAAAATTTTAATGCCCAAGTAAAGACGTGCAGAAACTAATAATATATGTTGTCTATTTTCGGTTAGAACAAACTGTTATTAAATCATATATATATATATATATATATGCACATATATACATGAAACAGGATTTAAGCCTGGTTTTCTTCTGTATTTTTATAATCTGTTCTATTTACAAATCAGTTTCATGAAAGTTGTTTTGTTTTCAGTAAGATTATGGAGAAGTTAAGGTTGCTTATTAAAACTTTTTCTCGTATTTTGAATTATACTAGTATATATGATTAAATGTAGTTTATTGATGGAATACGTAAAAGAACAAAAGAAAAGACAACTTTCTTTGTGGATATCTACTCGTGTCCAGTTGTGGGACAAATGAGTAGGTATCCACAAATAAAGTTGTGCTCTAGATAAGCTTTTACACAGTTAAAGGTCTAAGTCCCTCTAAGTTTCCAGCTTGCTGTGGTATAATCATGTGATTTGCTCCCTCTCTGTCTCTGTGTCTGATGGTTTAGTTTGCCCTGGACATCAGTCAAGTTCCCTACCCACCCCCACCAAAGTTAGCTGTGTTTAAATGAGAAAAACTATAATTAGCGTCTCCACATAAGCAAGCAATTAAACTACTCATTGTAAAACAAAGTTTAACAACTATCTGGAATTATCCTTTACTATTGGATTTGTTTTACATAAAGTATGCTATTTTAAGAAACATTTTTATAATTAAAAAGTTTCACAGTTGTTTTCTAATATTGTTAGAAAATTTATGCTTCTGCTTCAAAAATGTCAACTGTAGATCACCTTAAGAGATCTCTTGGTGAAACAAAGGAATAAAGATTATTGTTTCTTTCGATTTGATAAATAAACAGATATTTAAAATGGAATACCTACTGTGCTAATACCAGCTCATCACAAAGCCGTGTACTTTTTTTTCCAGGTCAATTTTGACAGAGTTCCAATGGAAATGCGCCTTCCTATTCAGTGCCCTATAAAACGAGATTTTTTATCAGGAATTCAGATTGAATTTAAGCAGTCTCCTCACCAGAGAAGTTTAAGGGCCCGGTTGTACTGGCTTCAGGTAACATTTTCATCCTCTGTTAAATAGTATTTCTCATCACTTTGGGAATCTTGGGAATGAAATTCCTAATTGTGATTGCTTTTTTTCCTCCTTCCTCATATCCTATGGATTCAATACCTTACAATCTAAGTCCAGAGTATCTGTTGAGACTATTAGTTTGATCAGTTAGCATGAAAAGTGGTTTTTATTTGCATTGAGCTCATATATTTTTAAATGTTTCTTTGAATTTGTCATGGGATACCCACATAAGATTTTCTGTTATCATCCTTCATGGCAAAGAGCAGAGATTTTTTTATTGAAGGTTCTTTCTGGATGCTCGCTTCCTCCCTCTGGGCATTGTTCTCTTCCTTCCCTATAAATGTTAAATACTATTTAGAGCATTTTTATTCTTTTTCTACTTATCCTCTAGTTTCATATTTAATCTCTACTTGCATTTTATTTAAACCATAAACAATTGAAATCTCACATAATCCACAAGTATGAATGTTTCCACTAATGACTTACATACTATGCAGTGGTAATGCAATTATGAGGGTATTTAGGTATTCCTTTATTTAAAGACTTGCCCTTGATGAGGTATGGAAGAAGTTTTATAGAGTTAAAATGAAACTTCTAATTGTACCACACATACATATAGATAATTATGATGAAACTAATGACTTTTTAATAAAATTCTTTGAGACTAAAAATTTAAATCTAATTTATTTTAAACCGTTCAAAGTTGGTCTTCTTTTCTTTCAGATTGATAATCAATTACCAGGTGCAATGTTTCCTGTTGTATTTCATCCCGTTGCCCCTCCTAAATCTATTGCTTTGGATTCCGGTAAATAACATTAAATTGAAATACAGATATGCCATGTTTATAAAAATTAAATAGACATTAGTTTAACATAGTATAAATAAAGTATGTTTTTTTTCCATTGTGCTCCTTCTTCTTTGTAGAGCCCAAACCTTTTATAGACGTGAGTGTCATCACAAGATTTAATGAGTACAGTAAAGTCTTACAATTTAAGTAAGTAAATATTCTCCCTGTTTGTCTAAAGGAATTTAAAATTGTAATCTACATTGAAAATAAATTTTACTCTTTTTGAAAGTGACTTTTGTATAAAAATTAGTTTCCAGCTGAGCATATTATTTCATTTTTAGTTGAATGATCTTTTAGCTTCAACTTATTGTAATAATAGTTTGTACATATTTTAAAGTGTGGAATTCCTTCAGCCTTTGTAACTTCAATTAGAATATAAAGTAATAAGTGAAATATAAATTATGTATGTATTTATGTTATTTAAAGCAATTGCTATGAACTTCAACAATTCAGAAAAATACATGCTGCATCATCCAGTTGTATTTGTCTTGTCTACAGTGTGCTAAATGTGGACACGTGGGACTTTAAGTGCTAATGTACCAGTGTTATTGTGAGTCAAGCTTTTTTTTTTGTTTTTTTGGCAGTTTTTGGCTGGGGCCGGGTTCAAACCCGCCACCCCCGGTATAGGTATATGGGGCTGGCGCCCTACTCCTTTGAGCCACAGGCGCCACCCAGTGAGTTAAGCTTTTACTCTAGTGAAAAAAGTCTGAGTAGGCTTTGATCTTACTGACGTAATTTTAAAGAGATGAAGAAATGAGGTCTCACTGTGGATTTTGACTAAAATCAATTTGAACATAAAAAATTGTAAAGTTTAATAATTCTTTTCCATTTTTACAAATAATTTTCCTTAGGTATTTTATGGTCCTCATTCAGGAAATGGCCTTAAAAGTTGATCAGGGGTTTCTAGGAGCCATTGTAGGACTGTTTACCCCAATAACTGACCCTGAAGCTGAAAGAAGACGGGTAACAATTTTTATTTCTTTGGAAAAATATAAAAAAAAATCAGCTTTTTTTGAATTGTAGTAGATAAAAGTATTAAACCAAAAATTTTTGATTTATTTTTTTCAGACAAAGCTAATCCAAAAAGATATTGATGCTCTAAACACAGAATTAATGGAGACTTCAATGACTGACATATCAATTCTTAGTTTCTTTGAACATTTCCATATTTCTCCTGTTAAGGTTTGTGGTAATTATTATTCTGAAAATTTAGTGGAATAGTTGTGGAATTTTCAAACAGTCTGTGTACAAATGTTTGATTTGTAACATCACATATTTGGTGAGAATTTTGTTTGATTAATTGAAATAATTAAGACAATTCTCTATAACATATGTACAGCCTTAATTCCCACAGAGAAACCACTAGAGCATGTTCTCTAGTCTTGAATTAATAACCCCTTTATTCAAAGAAGAAGCTGACAAAAGCATTTCTTAATTAAGCGTAGAAGTGCTTGCCAACGTTTAATGTTTTGGTTGCACTCAGTAACTGCTATCACTGTCTAAACAGAAAGCTATAATGGGTGTCCTAACCAGAATGTGAAAACGCTGAAGTAGGTATTATCCTGTTGATGTGATGTTTTTACCCCTTCCAAAATTTGATTGTAACTAAGGGAGTGGAAAATTGGATACCTTTCACTTGCCTGATTTTGTGCTTTATGAATCCATTTCCTTTTCCCCTTTTGTTGTTCTTTTTAGCTTTTGTAGGGAAAGGTGACTGCTTAGTAAATTTACAAATGCTTTCAACTAAAATGCTCTAAACTTGTGTAATGGGCCAGATTTACAATTAAGTAACTCTTTAAAATATTGATGATCCTTTACATTCTCAAAAACTGTTTACAGAACATTATTTTCAATTACATTCACTAATCCATTCAGTTAAGTGAATAAATTTATAAAATCAAGTTATTTTTAAATAGTGTATTAATTTGATGATATCAGACATTCACAGTGTTAGGTTTAACAGTGATACTGTTTTATGTGATAGGCTATATGTAGTTTCCTTCTCATTATTAAGTGAAAATCTGTTACAGGATTGAATAATACCTTCAACAAATATTTGCTGAATGCCTATTTTCAAAGTTGCTGTGGAGAGATAAAATGACTTCACTGAGTTTATAATCTGGTGGTGGGTACTAAAATTTGATAACTTATTCATGTTCTGGGATTTGTGCCATGAAGTTGAATAATGAAGAGGATGAGCCACAGTTATTTTTTTAGTGCATGGTGACTTTGTCCTAAGGAAAGGTAGGATCTCTGTCTACCTGTGTTTGCTTTCCGTGGATCCCAACACTCCCTGACTTTGCATATGGGCAGAGGTTCACAACAAAGTAACAATGAACAGCCAGGCTTTCCTCGCCTTGCCCCAGGTCTACTTTACTTGAGCTATATACTGGTTAGCTAATATGTGAGATGACAAAATGGGAAAGGAGAGTCATCTGCTTTATTTACATGTGTTGAATTGCCTTTTGTGTCTTCTTTCACTGTTGCACTAATTAAAAGCTAATAAGAATGTGAAAATCTCATATTTACTGAATTGGAGGGTCCATGGAAACTGAAAACCTTTTAAGAAATTATTTGGAGAGAGGACCCAGGCAGGGGAGAGAGCAAGGTGATGGACTAGAAAGATCATTCAGTTGAGCTCTCCTGGAACAACTGGGGAAAAAGAGAGAACCCAGCTATACTTGGTGCAGAGACCTTATCCAGAGTCATAGCTCAAGGAGTACTGTGAGGAGGTAGTAAGCTAAATACAGAATATGATGTGGAGTGGTGGAAATCCAATGAATTAGGCAAGTGATTGTGAGTGGCTGGGCTTGGCTAGCTGCCTACAGAGGTCTTAGATGGGAGGAAGCCGTTTAGGAGTTTTCAGTTGTGGGGGGAAGCTGCACGTTGAGTGAAAAGCTTGGAAGAATGGGTGGACTTGAACAGCAACCACATCTGAATGCCAGTTGGAGTGGTTTGCCATAGGTTTGGTGACTGGTGAGGTAGCCATACTGAGGTCTCCAGAGGCAGGAGGCTGTCCTTGTGGGAAGGTCATGAGAAGTTCTTAGCAGGGGCCTAAATTCTGCCTGCCAGGATCAGAACTCCACTCTTGGGACAGGCTGAAGGACTTCCATGCCCCATGGGACTAGAGTCAGGGGCACTGTGTGAGACCTGCCCCCGAAGGATTCTTGTAAGTTTTAAGATCTCAGTCCGGTAGGGTCTAAATGCTCAAGACACAATCAGGCAATTACCAAAGGCACCTAAATTTGGAATAAGGACCATGGAGGTTGCTGGTTGTTCTGTCCCCTAAAAAAACTACAGCACCACCTGATATCCCAGTGACATATTGCAACATATTGTCATCAAGAACAAGTACTTTTGTTTGAAACAAAGGAGGCAGTGAGAAGTAAAAATGGAGACAAGGAGGTGAACAAGAAGAAACAACACAGGAGGAGGAACCAACAGAAAAATTCAGTCAACATGAAAAACCAAAACAGACAAACTCCCTCAAGGGACCATGAGGCAGCTACTGCAGAAGAGTCCACTTATAATGAATTAATGGACTTGACAGAAAGGGAATTTAAAATATGAATGATAAAGACAATAAAAGGAATGGAAGAGAAAATGGAAAGATAGAACCAAATGTCCAACAAGAGATAGGTACAATATAGAAAGGATATGGGAAACTTAAGGAAATGAAGGAGACAATCAGGGAATGTAAACACACAGCAGAAAGTATCAAAAATAGGTTAGACCATGGAGAAGAAAGAACCTCAGAGCTAGAGGGTAAAGTTTATGAGTTAACCCAGGTAGTAAAAAGACGCAGAAAAGAGGAGAGGGAAAGCAGAACAGGCACTTAGAGAACTATGAGACTCCATGAAGCATTCTAACATAAGAATAATAGGGATTCCTTAAGGGGAAGAAGATTGTCCCAAATGAATGGAAACCCTACTGGAGACTATCATAAAAGAAAACTTACCAAGTTTTACTAAAGACCCCAACACGCTACTTTCAGATGGATATCAAACCCTGGGTTATCTCAACTCAAACAGAGCCTCTCAAAGACACATTGTAATGAACCTGTCCAAAGTCAAGATGAAAGAAAAAATTCTGCAAGCAGCTATGAGCATGTGCCAACTGACCTACAGAGGCAGAGCCAATAGGATGAGAACAGAATTTTCAGCTGAACCCTCCCTTCTAAGCCAGAAGAATAAGGTCATCCACCTTCAACAATTAAACAAAAAATTCCAGCCCAGAATTCTGTATCCTGCTAAACTGAGCTTCAAAATTGGTGGAAAAATCAAATCTTTTGTAGATATACAAGCACTGAGGAAATTCACCATAATAAGACCAGCTCTACAGGAAATACTTAGACCTATTTGCAACACTGACCACAACAATGGACCACTAGCGGCGTAAACACCTAGAAGCTAACTTAGCATCCACAGTGGCACAAAGGATAGAACTACACAACAGACTTCCACTAAATAAGATGAATAGAACTCCGCCACACTTATCAATTCTTTAAATAAATGTAAATGGACTGAATTCACCACTGAAGAGACATAGGCTGGCTGATTGGATGATAAAGCAAAGCCATCCGTATGCTGTATCCAGGAGACACACCTCACCTTGAAGGACAAATCAAGACTCAGGGCTAAGGGATGGAAAATAGTATTTCAAGCAAATGGAAATCAGAAGAAAGGAGAGGTTGGCGGTCTTATGTTCAGATACATGTGGATTTAAAGCAACTAAAGTTAAGAAAGACAAAGATGACACTTTAAACTGGTCAAAGGAACAATATAGCAAGAAGAAATTTCAATTTTAAATATTTATGCACCCAACTTAAAAGTTCCCAGATTCATGAAACAGACCATGATGGGTCTGAGCAATATGATATCCCATAACACCATAGGAGTCAGAGACTCAAACACCCCTCTGACAGAACTGGACAGATCCTCTAAACAGAAACTAAACAAAGATACAAAGGACTTAAATGTGACCCTGGAACAAATTAATAGACATTTATAGAACACACCATCCCTAAAGCTAAGAAATATATACTTTGTCTCGTCAACCCATGGTATGTACTCCAAAATTGAATACATCCTAGGATACATAGCAAACCTCAGAAAAATTAAAAGAATAGAAATTATACCTTTTATCTTCAACTCCAACAAAAATGTTCATCTCCCCCACACAAAGACTTGAAAATTAAACAACCTAATGCTGAATGATAGGAGACTTTAAGAGGAGATAAAAGAGGAAATCATTAAATTCCTCAATCATAACAACAATGCAGACAACAAGTTACCAAAACTTGTGGGATACAGCAAAAGCAGTCTTTAGAGGGAAATGTATTACATTAGATGCTTGCATTAAAAAAACTGAAAGAGAGTGCATCAACAAACTCATGAACCATCTTATGAAATTGGAAAAAGAAGAACAATCTAATCCCAAACCCAGCAGTAGAAAAGAAATAAAATTAAATCAGAGATGAATGAGATTGAAAACAAAAGAATCATTCAGGAAATTAATGAAACAAAAAGTTGGGTTTTTGAAAAAATAAATAAAATTGTTATACCTTTGGCCAAATTAACTAGAAACAGAAAAGTAAAATCTCTAATAACCTCAATCAGAAACAATAAAGGGGAAATAACAACAGATGCCACAGAGATACAAGAGATTATCTCTGAGTACTACAAGAAACTCTGTGCCCAGAAATTTGACAATGAAGAGCAAATGGCAAAATACCTGGAATCACACCCTCTTCCTAGACTTAATCAAGAAGAAATAGATCTCTTGAACAGACTGATTTCAAGAACTGAGATTGAAGAAACAATAATAAAAAAAAAAATCTCCCAACAACAACAAAAAAAGCTCTGGTCCAGATGGCTTCACACTAGAATTCTATCAAACCTTCAGAGAAGAGCTTATACCATTACTGCAGAAATTATTCCAAAAATTCAGAAGGAAGGAACCTTCCCCAACATGTTCTATGAAGCAAACATCATTCTGATACCAAAACCAGAAAAAGACCCAACTAAAAAGGAGATTTTCAGACCAATTTCATTAGTGAACATAGATGTAAAAATTCTCAATAAAATTCTAGCCAGTAGATTACAGCTACACATTAAAAAAAAACATTCATCATGATCAGCTGGATTTCATCTCAGGGATGCAAGGCTGGTTTAACATAATGCAAGTCTGTAAATGAAATTCATCATAACAACAGAAGCAAAAACAAAGACCATGCGATCTTCTCAATAGATGCAGAAAAAGCATTTGATAAAGTTCAGCATCCTTTTCTAATTAGAACACTTAAGAATTTAAGCATAGGTGGCACATTTCTTTTTTCTTTTTTCTTTTTTGCAGTTTTTTTTTTTGGCTGGGGCTGGGTTTGAACCCGCCACCTCTGGCATATGGGGCCAGTGCCTTACTCCTTTGAGCCACAGGCACTGCCCAGGTGGCACATCTCTTAATCTGATTGAAGCTATCCATGACAAACCCACAGGTAATATTTTACTGAATGGAGTAAAAGTGAAAGCTTTCCCACTTAGAACTGGAACCAGACAAGGTTGTTCTCTATCACCACTACTGGTGGTGCTGGAAGTTGTAACCAATACAGTCAGGCAAGAGAAAAAAAATATAGGGCATCCAAGTGGGAGCAGTGGTGTCGCTGTTTGCCAATGATATGATCTTTTACTTAGAGAACCCCAAAGACTCAACCACAGACTCTTCAAAGTGATAAAAAATATATAGCAATGTCTAAGGATATAAAATCTATGTCCACAAGTCAGTCTTTGTATATGCTAATATCAGCCAAGATGAGAAGCTAATCAAGGACACAATTCCCTTCAGAGCACGTTCAAACAAAATGAAATACCTAGGAATATACATAACAAAAGAGGTGAAAGACCTCTACAAAGAAAATTACAAAATCCTAAGAAAAGAAATAGCAGAAAATATTAACAAATGGAAGAATTCTTCCCAGCCTCAGGATAAGAGATTGAGGAAACAATTAGGATAAGGCTGGGAAGAATTAATATTGTACAAATGTCTATACTACTCAAAGCAATCTAGAGATTCAAGGCAATCCCCATTAAAATACCATCATCATACTTTCAAGATTTGGAAAAAATAATTCTTTGTTTTGTTTGGAACCAGAAGAAACCCCATATAGCCAAAACAATTCTTAGTAATAAAAACAAAGCTGGGGGTATCACCCTACCAGACTTTTGGCTATACTACAAGGCCATAGTGATCAAAATAGCATGAAATTTTGAAATATCCTGATTTTAAATCCTGAGACATTGCTGTATTTTTTGATCACTTCCAGGAGTCTTGTGGTTGAGTCTTTGGGGTTCTCTAAGTATAAGATTATATCGTTGGCAATGAGTAAGAGTTTGACTTCCTCTGCACAAAAACTGGCATAAAAATAGAGAAAATGACATTTGGAACTGAATAGAAAACCAGGAGATGAAATTAACCTCTTAAGGACACCTGAGCTTTGATAAATCAAATAAGAACATACGTGGGGCAAAAGAATCCATATTCAATAAATGGTGCTGGAAGAACTGGATAACCACATTTAAAAGACTGAAACTGAACCCACACCTCTCACCACTTACAAAAATTGATTCAAGATGCATAAAATATTTAAATCTAAGGCATGAAACAAAAATCCTCAAAGATAAGTGTGGGGAAAACACTTGAAGATACTGGCCTTGGGAAAGATTTTATAAAGAAGACTTCTGTGGCAAAAATAGCAAAAATAAACAAATGGGACTTAATTAAACTGAAAAACTTCTGTACAGCTAAGAAAACAACAACCAAAGCAAACAGACAATTTTCAGAATGGGAAAAGATATTTGCATATTATGAATTAGACAGAAACTTGATAACTAGGATCTTTAGATAACGCAAACTAACAAAAAAAGACCAAACAGTCCCATCTATCACAGTGTTAGAGAGATGAAAAGAACATTCTCTAAAGAAGACACATGAATGACTAACAAATATATGAAAAAATGATCACCATCCCTAATCATCAGAGAACTGCAAATCAAAACCACCCTGAGATGTGAGCTAACCCCCGAGAATGGCCTACATCACAAAGTCTCAAAGCTGCGGATGCTGGTGTGGATGTGGAGAGAAGGGAATACTTTCACTACTGGTGGGTCTGCAAATTAATACAACCTTTTTGGGAAGAATTATGGAAACTCCTCAAAAAACTCAAATTAGACTTCCCGTTTGATCCTATAATCCCATTACTTGGCATCTACACAGAAAGGGGAAAAAAAAAAAGAACAACTTTTATCATAAGGAGATTTGCACTAGACTATTTATTGGAGCTCAATTTACAATCATCAAAATGTGGAACCAGCATAAATGCTGACCAACCCAGGAATGGATCAATAAGCCATGGTATATGTATACCATGGTATACTATTCAGCCAGTAAAAAGATGGAGTCTTAACATCTTTTGTGTCAACCTGGATGGAGGTGGAACACATTCTTCTCAGTAAAGCATCACAAAAAAAGAGAAGCAAGAATCCAATGTGCTCTATTCTAATATGAAGGCAGTAGATGAGCTAATATAAGGTGGGAGTAAGGGAATGAGCAAGTAGAGAGGAGGGAGTGGGATGGGTGGGTCACTGTGTATGGCATACTTCTTGGGGGTGGGACACAATTATAAGAGGGACTTTAACATATGCAATCAGTACAACCTAATTCTTTGTACCCTCAATGAATCCCAAACAATAAAAAAATTATAATAAATATTTATTTGGAAACTTTATTATTGTTGCCTATTTGCCATATTTATTATAATTATTACATAATGGTTATTTGTTGCCATAGTGATTTGCCTTGTTAGATGAAAATAAATGATTATACATTATTTTGACTAGCAGACTTGCTTGTATGTCAGTTAACTTGCTTTTCTTCTTAAAACCATTATGCCATTTTTATAAACTGCGTTGGTCTCCTCCATATGAACAGAATGCTACTTACACACTTTGAATAAAATTGGATGTTTTGGATTTTATGAAAAAGTAAAGAGAATCAGATGTGAGTTCTGTATAGTGTGTAGAATGACAAATAATAGGTTTCAGGAGGACTCTAATACTCTTTTTGTATCTGGAAGACCTGGTTCCTGTGTATATAATTCTTTTGTTTTTAGCTTTCATTTATTATACATCATTTTTCTTTCAGTTGCATTTAAGTCTTTCTTTGGGTTCTGGAGGTGAAGACTCAGACAAAGAAAAACAGGAAATGATCGCAATTCATTCTGTCAACCTGCTGTTGAAAAGTATAGGTGCTACTTTGACTGATGTGGATGACCTTATATTCAAGTAAGACTTCTGTTAGAGCACAGTGGAAAGCATGTGTACCAAGGTCGTGTTTCTGGGTATTAGTTCTCTGAATTTATACAATATTAGCTTAGAAAAATGATAACGTATCTCTCTACTCACATTTTAAGACTTTGGCTCATTTCTAATTATACTCTTTAAATATGCTTACTTTATTCATAATGTCAAGGTAGGGAGTCATATTTTCTTTGGTTATTCGTATATACATGAATATAGAATAAAATTGAATTATTTTAGTTGTGTGTTATAAATTGACTGTTTTTAAATAGAACTACATTTATAAATATGTAGCAATGGGATGAGATTTCAGTGTAATTGTATGGTAAGTTATAGATAATAGGAAAAATTTTCTACATTTAATATGAGAACATATATGTATGCCAGATACATATAAATTAAATAAATATTTATTCAATTGAGTTTTCAGCAGTGGTATTTGAACAAGTAGTTTAGTGGGAGGAAAAACCCCATTTAGATCCGTTTCACCTTACTTGTACACTACCAAGTTTCAGAGAAAATAAAAGATAAAAGATAAAATTCAAACTGAAAAGTCTAAAAAAAAGTTAATTGCTATCAAATCTCTGAATATAAGATGTCTTTCTAAGTTTAAAAGCAATAAAAAAAATCTCAAGGCAAATACAAGGTAGATATGACTATGTAAATATTAAACACTACAACAAAATCAACACAAAAAAAGAATTTAGAAAATATTCAAAAAAGAATTTAGAAATAAGATTTTAGAAAACATTAGTAAGAAAATCCTAAAGATATCGTTGATATCTCAGCCAGAGGACAATAAGATAATTCACGAAATGGAAGATACAGCAGCAGATAGTTGAACTGTTCAGCTTTGTTATTTATCAAAGAATATATACAAATCAAAGCAAGTTGTTAAAAATGTCAAAATATGAGCAATCCTAGTTTTGAGAGGGTGAGTCTAAGAAATAGGCACTTTCTTATACTCTTGACATTAAGTGGAAAAGTTTACCAAGAATCTTACATGTTTTTGTTGTTTTTCTCTTTTTGGGAATTCTTTTCAAAAAAATAATTTTGGAATACAATCAGAGAGTTCAGTGTACACATGACGTCATTCATTATTATGGCAAAAATTAGAGATGTCTGACAATGGAACAATTGTTTGTTACAACACTGCCACGTGGTTGGAAAGCTATGGATCCATTAAAAATGGTTATGGAGAATTTTAAATAATGTATAGAAATACTTATCCATAATGTTACATGTAAAAGTAGCATACACAGTGTTTTAAACATTTTATAATTGCCTATAAAAGAAAGGAAAGACTTCAGGTAGAAATGAGAAGAAAACACTTTAAAGTCTACTGTGTGGCAAGACTGTGGTTGACTTTTCTTTAAATTTATTCTTATTTTGTGGAAATGAGTCTTGTTCTGTTGCTCAGACTGGAACGCTGTGGCATGGTCATGGCTCACTTGTAACTTGTAACTTCTGAGCTCAAAGGCTCCTCCTACCTCAGTGTCCTAAGTAACTAGGACTATAGACATGCACCACCACATCTGGCTAATTTTTAAGTTTTTGTACAGATAAAGTCTCACCGTGTTGCCCAGGCTGGTGTCAAACTCATGGCCTCAGTCAGCCTTCCAACCTCAGACTTCCCACAGTGCTGGGATTACAGGCATGAGCACTGTGGCCAGCCGATGGTTGACTTTTTTTAAAACCTTTCCTACTCTTTATGTATGTATGAAAATTTGTATGGAAATGCACTATTTTTATAATATTCAGTTATTATGCTCTTGAGATGTCAACCATAAATTATATAAATTACATATGGCAGATGTGCAAAGCTCATTTTGAAAACATTAGCTATGATTAGAATTAGTTGTCATTGAAATTTTACGTTCCATTATTCATCATACAATTTTAGTGTCTGTGACTCTTTCATTTTTCCCCTTCCAGGCTTGCTTATTATGAAATCCGATATCAATTTTACAAGCGAGATCAGCTAATGTGGAGCGTTGTTAGGCATTACAGTGAACAGGTAATTTCCTATCATAGTAGTAAGGAATATACTTCACAAAATATCAAGATGAGACATTTGTACATCATTGTGTAGTGTGTGGTAATATTTACCTCAGTTTGTGATCTTGTTGCATGGTGGTTATTTTGAATAATTAATTTCTACTTTTTTAGTTCTACCCCTATATATGCCTTTTTCTTTCTTTCTTTCTTTATTTTTTTGAGACAGAGTCTCATTATATCACCTTTGGTAGAGTGCTGTGGTGTCACAGCTCACAGCAACCTCAAACTCTTGGGTGCAAACGATTCTCCTGCTTCAGCCTCCTAAGTAGCTGGGACCACAGGTGCCTGCCACAATGCCCGGCTATTTTTTGTTGTTGTTGTTGCAGTTGTCATTGTTGTTTAGCTGGCCCTGGCCGAGGTGGAACTCGCCACCCTTGGTGCATGTGGCCGGCACCATACCCACTGTGCTATGGGTGCTGAGCCTATATATGCCTTTTTAAAATTTCCTCCAGTCCCTTTTCTCCTTTGTGACTGTACTTTCACCACTGTGGGAAGGATAGTGATTTTAGAGTCATTATACTTGATTTCATCAGTGATTATAGTTTCTAGTATATTATAAGAGAAATTCTAAGCCATTTTCCTCCCTGTGCTTTAGTTATTTCTATAGACAATTAAGTTTGTGAACTTATCCTGGAAAAAGTACTACATACCTGGAGGTCCCTGCGTTTACCTTTCAAGTACTCCCCTTGGGTAGCTATGCACTGGTGCCAGAGCCTGTCCACCCTTCAAAGCAATTTTGGGATTCCTTTCTCTGGAATGGCCATCAAAGCTGTTGCATTATTACCCTTGATGTCCTGAATGTCATCAAGATGTCTTCCTTTCAATATTTCCTTTATCTTTGGGTAAAGAAAAAGTCAGGGGGCCCCACACCAGGCGAGGAAGGAGGGTCCTCTAATACAGTTACTTGTTTATTGACTAGAAACTCCCTCACAGCCAGTGCTGTTGGAGCTGATGCATGCCGTGGTGGAAGAACCCAGAGTTGTTGGCCGAGATGTTCAGTTAAGTCATCCCTAACCATTTCTCTATCAGTGTTTACTTGGCCTTCTGTGCTTCACATAGTCAGTCAACAGTTTTGACACAATTGGGTGAATTTTTAATGTTTTCGTCAGTTCTGCTCGTTACTGGCTGCCCTGACTTCTCTTTATTAGTGACACTTTCTCTCCTCTTAGAAAACATTTAATCTGTTTGTATATTGCTGTTTTTTTTTATGGCATTATCCCCATAGACTTGGACTAATATGTCCCCAATTTTACTTCTACTTTTGCCAAGGAATTTACAATGTTTGCTTGTTGCTCCAATTCAAGCTCTGACATTTTCACGATGGCACATAAAAACACACAACAGCAATAAAGAATAGCACTTAACACAACTGTGAGCCACTGATATACCAACATTATGAAACCTTCCTGAGTTGTTTGTACAGGCCTGCCAGTGTAAGCACACAGTGACAAGTTCACAAACTTAATTGTCAAACCTCATGTGCACAGAGCCAGAGTAGTCATTGTCGGCTGCTTGGGTACCATTGCTGTGCCATGGACGTTCAGGGTGACGTCTTTCTTCCTGCCACTGTGAGAACATGTATTCTTCTACAGTGTGTATGGACATTATGGTTATTATATACTCAAATAAGGATGCCTTGTTCCTTATTTTTTGTTTTAATTACTGATTATTCTCCATATAGTTTAACAGCAATTGTCATGAAAAGGTGATAAAAACAACTAACAACTTTTGAATAGAGATTATGTGTTCATATAATCTGCATACTCACCCCTACACAGTTTGTATAACCTCCTTGTATGAGAAGACTGAGGCTTATAGTTACTAAGTGCCTGCCTTTGACTAAGGTAACTTAACTGCCAAATGGCAGACTGTGCCTCAAACCTGATTCTTTGTAATTTGAAAGCTCCTCGGAAAGTGTTAGCAGAATTCCTGGTTAATGCTACATGATCATCAATTAATGGACGTGGTAGTAGTTATGCCACGTAGCTTTGCATTAACACAAATTTAACTAGTAACCCCCTTTTTAAGTATTTCGTCATGATGTTATTTCTTACAGACAGTTATAAATTACTTAATTTAACTACTTTTTCTTTTTTAGTTCTTGAAACAGATGTATGTCCTTGTATTGGGGTTAGATGTGCTTGGAAACCCATTTGGATTAATTAGAGGTCTGTCTGAAGGAGTTGAAGCTTTATTTTATGAACCCTTCCAGGTATTGATCTTGCATTTATTTTAAGGATAGGTATAGAAAAATGGATGTTCTATCTGTTAATGGCAGATAATAATTTGTCTTTTAAATGTATTTCGGTACTGAAGTTTAATGTTGAAACAGCAAAAATGTATCAGTTTTATATTTTTATTTAAAAACGTGAGATAACATTGAAATATTGTTTAGAATTGAGTATTTCTAGTGTCTAGGCAATAAAACAAGCCCACATTTTCCAGGATTTAATGTAATTGTAAAGATATTCTGAGTGCTAGGTAAATTAAGACTGTGTCGAGGTTTTTCCACCGCTGTGCAAAGGACTAATGGGGCATTAAAAGAAAACTCAGTCTCATATTCAAGCTTTTATCTAACCTGTCCACCTCAATTTAAGGGATCTAAGAGCTCATTGAGGGTTTCCAATAAAGCAGAGAAAATAAATGGGAGAACAAGAGATAAAAATATTTATTGGCTCTAGCCTTATTACTAGTGCAGCTTGTTTAACCAGTCTGATGAAACTTTGTACTGGGAGGCCAACTTCAAGTTGTGATTAAAATCCGTGATTTATACTTAATTTATACTAATTTTTGACATGGAGATTTTGCTAAGATTACATAGGCTGACAGTATCTTCAGACATAAAAAGTGCTCTATCAGTATTTGGAGTAGACGTTGAAAATTGTTTCATCACAATGTTTATGGATATTTGCAGATTGTGTACCTTTATGGAAACCATGGAATACTAGATTAAAAGTTTTAAACTTATTTAAATTTTAAATAGTAACTTTTTGGGTTTTTTGACCAGGGTGCTGTTCAAGGCCCTGAAGAATTTGCTGAGGGGTTAGTGATTGGAGTACGAAGTCTTTTTGGACACACAGTAGGTATGTATCATATGTTTGTGTATTTGTATATATTTCTATTGTGTACCAGAATGCTTCATTATGAAAAAATTATTATATTTACTAAAAAAGCAATTAATTTCCTAGTAATACCTTTTGAAAGACATGTTTTCTTGTTTTAAATGGAAAATAAGTTAACAGTGGCCTTCTCCTTTTTATATGTCTTTGTAATGTTAAGCTAAGGTATTTTAAATAGTTTTATTCTTCGTAGATGGGAGGCATTAATTTTTACATTTTTGTATATAAGACAGTTTTTTTATTTGTAATTATTTTTTATTAAATCATAACTTTGTACATTGATGCATTTATGGAGTTCTGGGTACTGCTTCAATACACAATGTGAAATGCTTACATTGAACTAAGTAACACATCCATCACAATTATATTCATTTCTTAATAGTTTTGAAATGTACCATTGCATCATGAAAATTAGGTGAGGTCCCCCCAAATACCCTCCCTCCTCCCACATCCACTCTTCCCTCCCCTCTGTCTCCTCTTCCTTTCTACTTTCTGGACTATAGTTATGTTTTGTCATTCATATGAGTGTGTAGGTGATTATATATTGATTTCATAGTAGTATTGAGTACATTGGATACTTTCTTTTCCATTCTTGAGATACTTTACTATGAAGGATATGTTCTAGATCCATTCAGGTAAACATAAAAGATGTGAAGTCTCCAT